CAAATAAAATCTGCACTGTCTTCAGCAGGTTTACCTGCCTCTACATGAATAAAATATGCAAACCTCAGAGGCTCAGAGTACTATGAGCTGCCCATCTTTTGGGGTGGCTTTTCAGCACCTCTGGTGCTTCCCCACAAAATCTCACACAGACTTCTACAGCAGAGCTTGCTCTGCACTGCAGTAACCTGCCAATTCATGGACACATTTCTTATCTTTTACATTATAAAAGTATGAGTGCTAACACTTTGCACTTACAGCCTTTTATCTGAGGACCTGAAAGGGCTGGGCACTCATTAGCGATAGCGACCATAATAACATTTTATTTCCCCAGCACCCTGTCCTGAGATTCCCGATTGTTTTTCCTCRGTGAGAACCCTATTGACTTTGTTCTTGCCTGGAAGTTTGCCCAGCTTAGYGCTGAGTGTAAATTTGAGCCAGCACTTTAGGAATTGATCAACACTTCTTTCATCCAAGGAGTTCAAAGTGCTTAGCAAACAACTGAACTTCATTTAACCTGTAAAATACGATAAGTTTTATAGCATCTGTGTTGGAGATAGGCAAGCAGGCCCAGATTTGCTCAAAATCTCTGAGCATGTGAGTCCTGATGTTTGAAAAGAGATGCCGAAGCCACTGACCTCCAGGCCATCTGTCTGATCATCAGACAAGGTTCCTCGCCAAGCTGCCCGAATGAGGAGCTGTATCTTCCTCAGGCTTTGCTAGGACTTGCTCGGGGATATTATTTTGCCTGGCCCCTTTGTTTATTTATATCAAAGATTTTGTCCATTGACCATGCTGGATGAAAATAATAGCATTTTGCATGTGCCCAGGGTTTCCTTTCCAAAGGGCTTTGCAGTCAGTGTGAAATCAATTCTTGCAGTAAGTTGAGCAGGTCAGTATCCCAGGTATCTATTTCCACRGATGGCTAAATCCAGACCAGAGACGATCCATTGGCTTTTCTGGGACATTCAGGATTTATAGCATTACAACTGAGAAGTCAGTCAAGACCTGGGGATTGAACTGGTGAAGCTGGAAGAGAGCTGCAACCAGTTTCCTGGGCTTGTTGCTCAGAGTGAGCGGTTCCACAGGTGGAGTCCAACACCCCAACCGCGAGAGGATTAACTCAAGCTGCAGCTTTATTACCTCTGGAGCACATTCCTTGGCTCTTTCCCTCTCTTTCTGCTTCTTTCTGTAATGCTCGGGGCTTAGTTAGTAACAGCTGGTTCGTAGCTCTTTGCTCTGTGTGAGCAGCCCGTGGCTGCGCGTTGCTGGTCTGCTGCGGTGAGTAATGCAAACGCTCCGTCTCCGAGAGGCAAGCACGACGCTTTCAATACCCATCACTGAATTCCTCATTAGCTCATGCAGCAGAACAAAATAGGGTGTAGAGCCCATTTCCTCGATGAGCAGAACCTGTTAATTTTTCTCTTTTATAACCTGCAGCATTACCAGCAGCAAATTACGGCTATCGATAACTCATTAGCAAATAAAATAAAAGACAGAGCCACTGACATCTGTATGAAGCCATGTCTGAATGGCACCGGCTTCTGCTTATTGGGCTTTTAGTATTCATTAAGGCATGTAAACGGTATGTGTTTAAAATGCTGATGTATGCAGCATGTGCTGAACTCTCCATCTGCATTAGCTGAGACAGTGGCTCGTACCAGCCCTGCAGCCTAACCAACTTGATTTATCGTAGTTTCCTAAGCTCTGTTTATGAGGCTGTTTTGTTCRTAACAGCTTAATATTTTTTTCACGTGGCAGAATTTGTCAACATCTGTGCGTCACGTTGCGCTGGGCGCTCGGTCGGCCCTGGTCGTGCTGGTAATGGGGTGGTTCATCTGGGGCGGAGACTCGGTCTGCCGGGAATTCAGCGACCGCTTTCCCAACGACAGCTAATTTAAAAGGTGGTGCTTCTCCTGCCTGTTAGTCTCGATGGAAGGAGAAGCACATCATCATCCCCTCGGCTGTCCTTCCTCTGTCTAGTGGAAGAAAACAAGCAGAGACAGGGGGAAGAGCAGTCGGACCCCGGAGCTCCCAGCCACAAGCTGTTACCCAGATCAAGAGGCGGATTAAAAGATGGATTGGACATTGCTGCTGATAAAAAGATGATATCCTGGCATGTCATCAGGCACTGGCCACTTGGGATACTGTCATGACATTGATTGCGTCCTCTCCAGCCAGCTTGACTCTGGCCAGATAAGATATTCTGTGATGTTTGGGCTCTTGAAGTATGTTTTCTTATTATATCTTAAGTCTGTAGCCCCACTACATTAAAAATACATGGAAAATGTTCCTCAATGCATGTGCCTGCAGCAATTTTCATTTGGTGCCCTCAAAACAGTCTTCTGAAAGCAGGAGCTCAGAGGTCCTCTCAGAGGCCAGACAAGTCGCTATTAGGCAAAGGCTGGGCCTCTTATAGCAGCTTAAGGATATAATTAGGCTCCTTTCAATGCCCTTCTCATTCCCTCTGGCCCCTCTTTTGCAAACCATAACCCCTTTTTGTAGCGCTCTGCTTCCTCACAAGGCAGGGTGTCCAACTACGCATGTAAAACCAGAGTAACTTCCTCCRAGGCATCATTACTCATATCCTAATTGCAGGAAAACCTTGAATGACCGTGCACCAGGTCTGTGCCCTTGACCAGAGCATGGGTGTCCATAGACCAAGGGATAGCTCTGCTTGGAAAGGTGATTATTGTTAGATGGCTAAAAATCAGTGCTCCTTGTAAAAATGCCAGTGGAAAGGGTGAATCAGAATTGTTTTGATCTGGGCGAGGGAGGGATCTCTGCATTTAGACAAGGTTGTTATGRGTTTCCAAAGGAGGTCTGATGAAATCCCAGACCCCCAGCTCCAGTGCAGCCCAAAGTCTCACGGGAACAGAGGCTGTTGTTTAAGAAGGAATTCCCTTATGCAGAAAATGTCTGTTTATAGTGAGGGCTTTTGTTGCTTTAAGTCRAAGTAAACCCAAGTATTAAAACATCAGACTTTTTTTCTGATGTGATATTACATACCGCTTTACCAGAAATATGTGTGGTTTCCTACTTATCTGCCTCTGCGCGTGGAAGACTGACATCACCGTCTCCGGAGGGGCTGGGACGGAAACATCAGATAATGCAATTGTGAAACACGTTGGACTTTGAAACACAGGCTGTTTCAAATCCAGTTTATGGCACTGAGAGCTTCTTTCAGTGGCAAGCACGAATCCAAACCACTAAGCTCTGCAGAACTGCTGCCTTGAAAAGCCTTTAAGGGGGAGGCTCCTTCCAGGCCTGTGCTCTGTGGCTGGGAGTGCACTGGTGTAATCCTGCTGTGAGAAAGCATCGCCTCTCTGCTCTTTAGCCTTATTCCTTTTTAAATAATTATGTGTTTCCGTGGTCGTTTCCACTGCTGTCATCTAGGCTCATGTCTATTCTGCCATGTCGGTGTATCAGAACCAATGCTACAAGTTCCTGGAATATTTTTTCTCATTTTTTACAGTAATTTCTACATAGGAATTACTCTTCCTTGCAGTGTCAATGCCTTTGCATGCCTTCAAGACTGCCTTCAGTCAGTATGCACTTCGTACCGTTACCCTTTAGGATCAAAATTTTGATCCACAACATAATGCCATTATTATTACTTTTATTACTGTCATCTGTTTCCATGTGCACTTGAAGAACTCCAGGGCCTTTGATTCTTAGGAAGATCAGAGTGTGGCTAGTTCTAAAGAAGCAGCAAAAAGGAACATATCTTAGAAAAAATAAAGGTTGACACAGACCCAGYGCCAGAGCACTCCTTGACATATTCCCTTTAAAGGGACAATGTCACCAAGAATACTTATTGCGAGCTGTTTATTTTGGTCCAGGCAACCATAGTCTGTATCTTTCAAGCAGATTAATAGCTCTGCTTATTTGTCCCTTCTTTATGGTTAAGAGTAGATGAAGTATGGTGCATGGGTACATGGACACTTGTTTCATCATTAGGAGGATTTCCATTTGCTGGAAATGTTTTTTGACCATAGATTTTTTTTTGTCTAGGAATGAAGAGCATTCCTGAGACTTGGAGAAGACTGAATATTTGATGTTTTTGTGTAAAAGCCAGATGGCCAGTGCAAGGAATCCACCTTCAAACCATACGTGGCATCAGTTGCAGAGGGTGGTGGGAGATCAAGCTAACATCCATCCGATCTCCTATCTATGTGTGCATCACACTGCTTCTACAGCAGTGGTAGCAGTGCTGCTTTTATAAACACACTTTGGTAGGTTATAGTGCGCATTTGTTTCCAATGTACTTATTCCTGGAATTTGGCACACGACTTCTCATCCTCAGAGTCTGGAAAGTTTTATTAGAAGGGGAATAGCATTGAATGAGAGTCACCAGCCTGGATTTCGTTCCTGGCTCAGCCACCAGCCCAAGCCATCATTGTGCAAACAGCCTCTTGGTTATCTGGCTTCATGTGCAAACACTTGCACGGCTGGGGCYGTAGGACTTGGCCCAGTGTTTGCCCGCTCTCTGTCCATCCATTTACCCCCATGTAAAATAACTTGAAGAATACTCCTCTCCCAAGCTTTGAGTTGACATTTATGGGTTTGCTTGAAAATCTTGGGAGGGGAAGCGTTATTAAAACGCAGAGAATGCCTTTTAACTGATGGAAGGGTATTTTAATGAAATATGCTGGCAAGCTTCCTTTTACTGCACRGTGCTGGTATTAAATGTGCTACTTGAAGAGCTGCATATCTGCCCTTTCCGAGCGCCTGGCTGGGGAATAATCAGCATTGTTTCCTGCAGCAAAACACACGCTCGCCCAGTTCGTTGCTAGGTTGTTCTCCTTTCTTGCCATTTTCCTTCATTTCCCCTTCTATAAATTCAGTGCTTGCTCAGAAGCTGCAGGAATCTGCCGTTGCAACATGTGATCCTCGCTGAGTTTCCTCACCATGTGAAAGTGTTTCTCTTGGTGGTCTGGATAATGAGTATTCCTGTTATATAACCACCCCCAAAATTACAGCCGCTTCTGTCTTYGAAAAGCTTTTGCTTGTCCTAAGTGCTCTGAGACATCTGTGCTTAGTCTGTGTGGAAAAAATGGCAGCGGGATGCAAAGAAAATCAGAAAAGGTAAAGATAAGAGATTCTGATTGGAAGGAATTTCTTGAGAAAAGGAAATYGGGCTGAGTTCCTGCTAACAAAAGCAGCTCCAGAGCTGGTAGCTTGGAGGCTGTCTGCTTAGGAGGAGATTTSTTATTTAACTTGCCCTTGATAATAGCCCTGTTATTATTAATTTTGTAAAGGTTTGGGTTGTTCCATTTGCCTTCACAGTACTTTGTTTCAGCCACTGAAGGCTTGAACCAGAGAACTGSAAATTCTCCCGATGGGTACATCTGCTGGCGAGTGACCTCCTCCTCCAGAGCTGTATCTACCTGTGCTCCAGATGGAGAACCTATCTCCCGAGCTACCCCAATCATTGTGTCCTTGCTATGGACCAACCAGACTCACCTGCAACCCACTCAAATGTTTTGCTATGCAGAATGTAATCATGTCCTCAGCATTGTGAGGAAGAGCAGCTGCTTTTCTTCAGCCTGCTTTTAGGTCCTTTTGGAAAAAGAGGTGTCTTTGATCTGGACTAGGAATGCCCAGATTGCTCATGCTGGAAAACCTCAGCCTTGCCCTCTGTTCTGGGTATGGATTTGGTGTCATCTTCTTTGCACCAGTCCTGCTGGGTAATATAGAGAATTGAGAAGTAGAGTTTTGCTTCATGGCCTTCTCYAGCTGTTATCAAATCTCCTGGCAGAGGAAATAGGTTGGTAATTCCTTGTGCATTCATTCAGCCCATGCCAGTGTGAAATATGAATGAAAGGCAAAACCAAAACCCCCTGCAAGCAGAGATCACTATAGAAAGATTGACTCCTACAACCCAATGCTACCTTCGAGGAACTCAGAAAAAAAAAATCTATCCAACAACACCATCTGTTTGTGGCACAATGTGTAAATTTATATCTATTTATGAATTTTTGAGTTATGATACTACAAATATCTCAGCTGCAGTTTTCATATCAGTACATGAAATAGTGTAGAGATATACCATGTATTTGATCCCAGGACAAGAACTTGTAAGCACATTAAATAATAATAACAAAAAAGGCAAGGCTAGAGCAGCCAACGGGAACCAYTGCAAAACTTCTGCACCTCTTGGGGCTTTTGCAAATCTTTTTAATAGAACTTACTGGAGCTCAGCATAGAAAAGTACCAGTTACTTGACAAGCCAGTTTCCCAGACTGTGTATCAGGCATTTCCAGTGCCTTTTAGCTGGCTCTCTGATGATGAATSACTCAGATTTGCATCAGCCAGAAGGCTCGGTGGCTGTGGTAGCCTGACTGCATTTTTATATTCCTGTTTTCTTTCAGTGATTCGCCTCGCTCTTGCTCTCGATGCCTGTTCTTCAATCTGAGAGAGTGACCCCTTCACCACTAACCTCCTTAAAATGTTCTGGAACGCTGCTCTTATCCCTAGGCAAAAAAAAAAAATTCCATCGATCATCTGAGGCCAGAAGCTGAAATGGCCAAAGCTCTGCTCATTGCCCTGGGCAGCACACAGCTCCCTGTATCTCTCCTCTCTTGATTTTTTTTCACTTCCCAGGGGCCTAAAATCCACTGAGGAACAAACAAGATAGTTTTAATACACTAATGGCTTTATTTATTTATTTTCTGAAATGGAAGCAGTTGAAGTCTTTATGCCATGGGGCTTTCCCATTTATGTGCACATCTGGTCCCATGCTGGAGGAGCTGCCTGGCCTTCAGTTGAGTGTTTCAATATATATTAGCCTTTTCTGTGCACAGCTAAATGTGTGCTGGTTGCACTGGTGTGTGGCTGCATTTTGCCATAGGGTGCACAGGTGTACACCACGTACTAATAATTCCTTGCCTTGGTTACTGTACTGTCCAGCGCCCACTATACTTACTTTAACTTACAGCTCTTTGGAGAAGGAATTACCTTTGTGTCTCTAGCCCAGTGGAGCTCAAATCTTAGCTGAAATTTCAGCATGCTGCTATATTCCAAATAGTGGTAAAGAGGGAAGAAAAAAAATGGAACAGGCACTGAAATTTAGAGCATTTCCATAAACGCTTACAAAAATGCTAAATACCATTGGTGTAGAGTGATTATGATGCTTCCTGCAAATGAGAAAGTCTCTAGATTGTTGTGGTCAGTGCATGTGTTTTTAGCCATGTTTTTTCCTATTAGTAGAGTTCTGTCTTTCTGATATAACTACCTTGATCATTTGTCTCACAAATACATGGCACCTTGATTAAAGCTGCATAGAGYCTTCAGCTGTGTCAATTATGTAATTTGCATTTTATTTAGCTTACAAGCCTTGAGGTTTTCTATTACGTTATATAGGATATGCTGTACAACAATTAGCCTAGAACCAAGCGTTTGCATGTTAATGTGCTAGAACAACATGTGTTTGCCTGTCAATGAATGTTGTGAAGTTTGATTCTTATTGAGAAGGCTGTATTCTAGTCATCTTCTAGTCATTTGGTGTGACTTCTGTGTGTATTTTTAAAAGTTTTTGGCCAGGCACACTGATTTGGGATGGTCATGATTACAACTGCTAGGGCTGTCGATCCTCGAGCTGGTAGGGATGACTGAATGACTGTTTAAGAATCATTTCAGTCCTTTAATTAATATTCTATGATTGCATGWTATTAGGTTTTTAAAGCACTATCAATTTTTAAAATATAAATTATTTTGTAGATTGGGAGCATTAGCTAGATGCTGTGAAACACTTTCACCAACCTTATCTTTATTATCTTATGATTTCACAATGTTTTGGATCTTGCTATTTATTAACACTGCCCCTTGGATAATTACAGTTCTCCTCCTCTGTGATCACCTCTGATGATGTTATAATTTTCTTTAATCTTCATGCAAAATTTCCTTAGAGTCAAGAGACAGAATGAATTTGAGTATTATTGATCAAAATAATGTGCCACATCTTAAAAGGGCCCTAACTAAATGACATATATTCTTGCAGCAGCAGAATCACTTTGAAATGTAGTTTYGTGCCCTTCTCTGTAATGGGAAGAAATGATCTAGTCTTGATTATACTATTGTTCTCTCTTTCAGTGTAGGTTTAACATCAATCAGCTGGACAGCATGATTGATTTTCTAATTAATAAGGCATTTGTATCAGCTTGCATAACCACACAAAGCTTAATGGGTTCCCTAATGTATCTGAAAACTGATTTTGTGTGTGTGAAGCTTTTTAAGAAGTGGTAAGGCTAGTTAGACCATCTCTGCACACGAGAACTCCTCCGTGCAGTAAATGTCAGTAGAAAGTGTATCGCACCAGACAGTGCAAGCTGATTAAAAGGTTTGATGGCCTCTATCCTGAGACTATCCTATCAGAAGTCTATCTTATCAGAATTTTAAGAAATACCAGACTTAAAAGAGAAGAGGGTTGTGATGGAGCTGCTCTAGCCTGCCCCGGCTCGTCAACCTGGCTATCTTCAAACCTCCAGAAGTTCCTTGATGCTCACCAGTGTTGGAGACAACTGTGCCCGCAAAGAAATGCCTTGAGAGACACCAGCCCTACCACCTCTCTCTTCAATATTAGTGACTCTCTCCAAAAACCTGGTTCTGGCTGCTCCAGATACAGGACCAGAAGGTCAGGGTCTGACCCGGGTCCTGCAGAGGAACCACAGCATGTCCTTGCCGAATAAGTAAGCAGAACACTTAAGAGCTGTCACAGTTTGAGCTTCTTTTCTGGGCTACAGCAGTTAATTGCTGCAGCAGCAGAAATGATTTACATRTATTTGCTTTGGGTTACGTATGGTTTGAGGAGCCCCCACTCCCTCTGCATCTGAAGGGCTGTGCCACAGTTGCTCTTGCATTTCCCTAGGAAGATGGTGGTGAAATCAAGCACAAACCAAGCAAAAAGGGTGTCCTGTGGGACCAGGCTGCAAGAAGACTAYGGACTTCAGAAATACAGGGTCTGATGCACCACTTCCTTGTGCATGTGACCTCCCCGYCAGCCTCAGGGGAGCAAAGCTGAAATCAAAGGGGAAAAACTACCTTCTCCTTCAGCTACGCTTTGATCTGTCGTCAATGCTGAGAAAACAGTTTTAATTCCCATTTCATATCTCTATTCCTTTCTATGAAAGGATGGAAACTGCAGGCTTCACTTGCACTATGAAACGCTTTGGTTGTACAGCCCATAGGAGCAGGAGATGAAACAAAGACTAAATCTTGCAGGCAAACCAAACAAAATGAGGTCGAACGTGTCCTCTGATTTTAATCTGTCTTGTAAATTAAATGCAGTGTGGACAGGAGCCCTCTGTAGCTTTTACAGTCTCCTGCCCTGACTTACAGTTGTCTAGCCCCATTGCACCAAGTTATAAATCTGACCACAAAAGCTATACACCAGCTATACATCAGCACAGAATTTGGCCCTTAGCCCTTACTCGCTGTCTAGAGAATGAACGAGCTTCACAGAGTTAAAATAAATAAACTCGCAAGCAAGACCAAGGTGATTTAAATCAGCTCTGTGGTGTAAGAAGAGAGGGCCACCCATGTGGTATATGGTGCTGCATATGGGGCATCACGGCCCAGGATTTCAGCTCACTGACTGTGGCAGGATTGGGAAGGACAGGGAGAACCTTTCAGCCACTCCTACTAAAGGTAAAACGTGAGTTTAAAGCATTGGGGAAACCTTGCAGTAACTTTATAAAAGGCTGCTGTTTGAGCTATACAGGCTGCCTACTGTAGACTGAGAGGTGCCATTTATGGGGCTGGCAGGGGGGAGAACCACATGGATCGGATTCGTACTCTTTAGTCCTTGACTGATGTGGCTGGAATAATGGTGCTGGTTTAAAAAAGACGTAATATTTCTGGTAAAAGAGGATCATCACACTTTGGCTTTAAGCTGTGCTAACTGAAGTTAATTGACTACACTTAACATGATGGTGTTTCGTTCTCAGTTGAGATGTAACCAGGTATATTTGCAGCTTCACGTCATGCCAATCCCAACGTTTAAGGGAGAGTTTAGGCTTCCAAGTGAAGAGATGGTTTGCTTCTAAGGAAAAATGTGGTCTTAACAGACTCCCTGTCTGCAGCTCAGAGCACCAAGGAAACAAATCCGTGTCTTCTCGTATAGCAATATCTAAATTCACTATATCACCTCATATAAAATGTTGAGTGATTTCCACCTAGATTGAAATAAAAAAGAAAATGAGTAAAAAGGAGTGGATGGAGAAATCACGTAAAAAAGAAGGAAGCAAGGCTGAGTTGATGGAGCAATTACTCGGGTTACCACCCATCTGCTGAGCAGTAGCAAGTTGGTGGGTATGCTGTTAGCCTGGTGAGAATGTGCAATCAGTGTCAACCTCCAGGGATGAGTTTTAAACTAAAATATTTCAGCCCAGCTTGATGAGCCTAAGAGCACACACTGCTAGAATGACTCAGCGGATGTGTAGTAACTAATTTAAGCTGTAATCACTCAAGTTGTGTACAAGCATTTTTAATGCTCAGCAGACAATGCTGGGAAGAGCATCTGAAACATGAAGGGGTGGAAACCCAGCCCATAGGGAAGCCACAGGATGGAAAAGAGCAGCTTTCTAGGAGCTAAAGGCAGCGAGCTGGTCCTGACTTGGCAAGAGTGTCTAAAAGGGCAGGGATGCATCCTTAGGCAATTGCATTTTTCAGAATAAATGTGCTGTTCCCACCCCGCTCTCCATAGGGAGGTTGATGCTGCCTCTTCATCCAATGTCTTCTGCTCTCATAGAAAAAGTCCTTGAAAAATCACACCCTGCCTTTTGCTGGGTCCTGGTTTTCTTCCTCCTGGATGTAGCTGCCCCGGGAGGCGGATGGGCTCCATGTCCCCATTAGCTTTTCTACATGACCACATACTGCTTTGTTGCAGGGTATTTTAACTGCTGGTTTTGTTTTCAGTGAAACCGTTTGATTCATCTAAAGTACTCTGCTGCTCATGCTTGTTCTTTTTCCTCCTCTGGTGAAACACAAACAAGTTTCTGGGAGGCAAAAGGGCAGCAGGAATGAGGATCAGAGGATGCAAGGAAGAGAGGATGAAACCTTGCATCTGTGTTGTGAGACCCTGGCCCAAGTTGGGTCTCCTTCCTCTCCCACTGCCCCAGCTGAGGGATATTCGGATTTAGGACGTCTTGCCACAGCCCAGCCCCCGCTGTGAAATGGATCAAGGTCCAAAGCTTGAACTCTCTGCCACCTCTAGGTTCCTAAAAGCGAGTGTTGTTAAGGGCTTGTGACTGAAATAGCTTTGCAATCTGTGAATTTGCTTCACCTCCATTCAAAGTTCATTCCTCCCACGCAG